GAAGAATGGTTGGGTGTTTCACATTAGTCATGGTGAAAATGACTTCTGGTCATTAACATTTGATGCGAAGACTCCTATTAAGACTGGTATATGTCTCAATATGAAAGAGTCTATCACTCACATTTGAATCCTCCGTTAATTCCTTTCCAAGTTTCTTCTCCTTGCTCAGAAAATTTCGATAGAGTCTCCTTGAGTCTCTTCTTCTTAAGAATTCACATTTTAAGACAAAAGAAATTTTGAGATAAAAACAAAAGTAAAAATAAACTTAGCACACAATACAAATAACTAAGAAATAAATATAACTAAGAAATAAAAATAAAATGAAAAATAAAATATTTTTGGATTTTTAAATTTTATGATTTTTTTATTTTTTTTTTAAATTCTCCCCCTAAATTTGTGCATATAAGACAATGTGAACAAATTTAAGAAAATCAGAAATAAAATGCAAATTTAACAAAATAAGAACTTTTAGAATCAAAGTTGTCAGACAATTTAACTTGCCCTTTATCACTAAATCTCATATCACTTCCCAAAAATACTTACGAAAAAAAACATATTTTTGTATTTTTGTATTTTTTTTTAACTTTTTTTACTTTTTTAATTTTTTTAACTTTTAATTTTTTTAATTTTTTTTTTTGGAATTTTTGATTTTATTCTTTGATTTCTCCCCCTAAATTTGTGCATGGGGAAGAAATAGAATAAATGCGCAATTTTTAACAAAAAAAAATAAAAATTTATATTTGAAACGAATCATTTGAATAAAATTCAGGAGTATTGAAAGAATTCAAACCGTAAGTCAGCAATTGAAGATGCATCCAGATGACTTGAGAACAGCACGCAGATGCAACAACATGTTCAACCTCAGCTATATTTCAACTCCGGAACGAGGTTAAGATATTCAACACGCCTATAAACACGATCCCCATTTGTGATCCTTTCTTTCTTCCTTTACGCGAAGGATACATACTCTCAATTAAGATTCTGAATGTTGTACATATGAGAGATGTCTCCTATCATGTGCATGGAACAACCACTATCGACAAACCGAAGTCTGATTATATTCCTCTATAGCTGCTCTGACACAGAGTGCGGAATTAGTTGGTCTTTGGAACCCAGTCCATTTTGAAGCTGGGTTGACCATTATCATCTACAAAAGGTACTCTCTCCCATGACATATCCTGTTTATCACACACATAAGATGAAGAAATGTTAGAATCATTAGATGATTTGGGAGTGTGAACCTTTGGTACCCATCTGTATTAGGGTTTAACCCATTTCTTGTTTGATCGGATGGATGCCTTATCACTCGCTTTAGAACTTGAAACCGAACGCCGAGATGACTTTGAATTAACTGATCTTCGTTTAACTGAACCATCTCTGGAATTTGGCTTCTTGTCCGACATTCCCTTCTTGACCTTCAGAGTTTGATTCTTGCCCTTCTTAGCATTCCAGTCACCATTGTTTGAATGTGATCTCGAAGGGTTTCTTTTGGAGGATCTCCCTCTTGGCGCGTTCTGCCAACCTTGTGCATAGTAGGGAACATATGCACGATATGGGCAATTTCTGGCAATGTGACCGGGAGTCCCACAGTTAAAGCAAGTCTGTCTTTTCATATAGATGAGATTGTGACTTGGTCCTTGTCCAAAAGAATTTTGTTTCAAGGGACTTCCACAAGCACATGCACAAGAACATTTAACAGACTTTTGTGGCTTGGGTTTTTCCACAGTGGGAGTATCATCATCATAAGCTTTTGAAACACTTTCAGCAGACTCGGAATTGATTTTGTTCTGCTTACTCTCATCTTACACTACTTCTTTATCTGCACATGAAGTAGAAGAATTAGAATTTCTCACCTCAACACAAGTTTTTGAATCATTTTCAGCAGAATAAGAGTTATTTGTGTTCTGCTCATGCCCATCTTGCACAGTGACCTGCTCTGCACATGAGGTAGAAACATTAGTGTCATTCACCTCAATATTCTCAGTTGGGCCAGATTGTTCAGTCTTAACTGAAGCTAATACAGGGGTTTGGCCATACTGAGCAGGTATCTCTACCTCATTGGTTTCAAGGGGTGGGGTATAGTTGTCATTGAAGGGAGGTGGAACACTGTGATACCCTAGACCCTTATTCTGATTATCTTTAAATCTTAATTGTTTTTCTATCATGGACACAACTACCTCACTTGACACGTCAAATTTCTTAAAGTTAAATTCAGCATCTTTATATTTAGCTTTTAATGCATCAAGTTCGGCAGTTAATTCAGTAATTTTTTACTTTAGCATAAAGATAATGTTCACATTTTGTGCTGTATTCTTCTTGAAGTTTTCTAAAGTCTTTGGTTTTGGCCTCTAATTGATTTTTAAGGGTTTTTGGGCCTTTCTGAGAGTGTATCCTTCATACCTAAGGTCCTCATTATCTCTACGTAATATATCAATTTGATCACGAAGAAATTTAATTATATCACTACATGCTTGAGAACAGGAAGTTTCATTGACCTCTTTTGTGATTGATGAACTCATTATTCACCAAAAAGAATAATTTACCAAAAATAGAAATGATTGTGAAACCAAGAAAAATGCACTTTGATTTAAAAAAACTCGAAAGTCAAGCTTGAAAGTCAAACTTGAAAAGTCAACCTTGAAAGTCAAACTTAAAAGGTCAAACTTGAAAGTCAAACTTAAAAGTCAAACTTGAAAGTCAAACTTGAAAGTCAAATATGAAAAGTCAAATCTGAAGGTCAAACGTGAAAACTTGAAAGTTAAACGAGAAAGTCAAAATTAAAGGTCAAAGGTCAAACTTTAAAGTCAAAAGTCAACTCTAAAAGTCAAAGGTGAAAATCAAAGATCTTTGTCCAAAAAGAATAACCTTGACCGAAAACAAAAATTTCTAAACCGAAAACGAAAATTTCTAGACCAAAACCGAGAATATTTGACAAAAAATGAGAGTATTTGACCAAATACGGGTCTTTTTGATCAAATATGAGGCCTAAGGACCAAAAACGAAATTATTGGATCAAAAATATGGCAATTTGACCAAAAATAAGCCAAAATAGTCAAATTCCGAAATTGTAGCCGAGGATGCGAGGCTGAATTCTCGGACCGAGAAAAGGAACCGAGAAGCTGAGGATCCGAACCGAGAACACGATGAAATCCGAGAACGATGCGAGAACTTCGGACCGAGAATGCTTTTCTCCGAGAACTTCACCCGTGAACCTCGCTTCACACCGTGAACCCTCGCCTCCGTCCGAAATCGTTGCTGAGCTCCGGAAACGCTGCTGGGCGAGAACCTTCGAAGCCGTGTCCGAGATTTCCGAGGAATCTTGACCGAGACCGAGGATCTCGCTGAGATTTCGCAAATTTTTGCCAAAATTCACCCAAAACTTGCCAAAAACACGAAAATTTTAATTTTTAAAATCAAACTCGATCAAAACTTCAAAAATATGAAGAACACGAAGAACAATGGTAAAAAATTCTAAAAAATATAAATCAAAAACACCAAGAAACTACAAGAAAAACCGTTTGCAATAACACGATTAATATCGATCCAAGCTCTAATACCACCTGTAAGTCCCGAATTCTCCTACAAATCAATCGGATTCACTTTGATGGTGCGGAATCCCAATCAAAGTGTATAATGCAAGACAAAGATGAATAAGAACAAGATAATTAATCTTCAATGCACACTATTATCAATCAATAGTCGGGTACATAAGATGTTGATTACACACTGTTCTCTCTTGGCTCTCTCTAAACTCACGTCCAATGCATATGACAGCCCCTAGAACGTCCCTTACTCCCTTCTAACTGATTTTCAAGCCTAAATAACACTATATATACCTAGGCCTAATAACCCAGCCCAAGCCCAAAACCTAAACAAAACAATATAAAGCCTAACCAAAATCACATGTGATTTTGGTCCAAACAACACCAAAAACATGGTGTTTTCGGTTCTAGACCGAGAACTCTAATAGCTTATGAAAAGCAAAGTATAAACCACAATTTATGACCTAACAATTTCCCCCTTGGTTTATAACTTTCTTTTCACTTACAATAAACCATAATTTAGTCCTAATAGATAGATGTTCTGATTTCCACAGATATGGATCTAAAACCGCGATTTTCGATGGGAATTCAATTTGGTTAACGTATTTATAGTTTGAGGTTAGATTTGTTTCAATTTTTAGACTCATACACTGTAAAAGATTTAAGGAAGATTGATGATGGTAAGCTTTTGCTTCTTGGAAGAGAGAGAGAGAGAGAGAGAGAGAGAGGAGAGAGAGAGAGAGAGGAGAGAGCTGAGAGAGAGATGAGAGAGAGAGAGAGAGAGAGAGAGAGAGAGAGAGAGAGAGAGAGAGAGAGAGAGAGAGAGAGAGAGAGAGAGAGAGAGAGAGAGAGAGAGTGAGTATGAGGGCCCTTTTTTATAGTTTTAGTTATTAAATTATTAAAACAAATATTAAAAATGTAAAAATCAAAATAAAAGGGTATAATATTCATTTTAGTTTTCGGATGGACCAAAACCACGTCAAAATTAGGCCAAAATGACCATAAAACCAAAAAAATGGGGATTTAGACTAAACCTCAGAAAAAAAATACATACCACATAGACTATTTTTACAGTTTTATCATTAATCAATTAATTTGTTCTTCACAAATTGCATAAACTTTGTCTTATAATCTAACAAACAACAAATAAAAACTAAAATTGAAAAATTCACAAATTACTACTTCGTTATTTTCAAGATTGAAAATTTACAAAATTTGAAACTCACGTTAAGTAGTTAAATAAACTATAACATTAAATTTTAGAGTTTACAATATTTAATTAAAAATTTACTTATAAGGCTGGAGAGAATTATCGTATTCGTAGCACGTTGCCACGTAAGATTTTTTTAGTGCTAGTAAACAAAAAGAAGGAAGTGGTGTTCACGACAAAAGATACCACATAGACATGCCTTCATAAAAAGACATGACACCATTGAGCCTAAGAAGACAAAGAAGAGTATAAGACTATATTTGATGTGTGGAATATCTTTTTGTCTTTAGTGGCTGCTTGGAGTTGTGTTGTGGTGCGCAAGGAAGAACAAAAGATACCTAAAGACATGTATGGATCTTTATATCTATGTGTTCGTTTTTTTGAGTCTACTATAATCATTGATGATGTGTTTAGGGTTGTTGATGGTTAAGATTACTCCCGTTAAAATGTAAATAATTATTATTTATTTATTTATTTTTGCTTTTGCTCTTGATGTCACTAAGAACCAAGAAATTGCAAATGGCGTTTATTTTTAGCCAGCTTTGCCTTCACACTACAAAGTGTCAAATTGCAAATTATATTATGTTGTCAAATTCATAAACATATATTATTTTAGTCATTTTTTATGATATGGTATTTTTTTTTAATATCCCTAACATAAAAAATAACGACAACACGATTTAAAATGACCATTTGCAGCCAATTGCTTGTCTCAACAACCAGCCCCTCCCTGTTGACTCTACCAGTCACCGTCGTCACCTAAAACCCTTCTTGCTACGTACGTCCAGCCATGGATGTTACCATGCTTCTATTTAATCCAGCTTCCACCCAAGAACAATCAGCAATCTAATTATTGTTTGATCCGATCAGAGACAATGAAGGGAGGAGTGAGAAGGATTAAGCTCGGATCACAAGGTATGGAGGTATCAGCTCTCGGATTAGGATGCATGGGAATGTCTGCTGGTTATGGACCTCCCAAACCCGAAGAAGACATGATCAAGCTCATCCACCACGCCGTCAACTCCGGCGTCACTCATCTCGATACTTCCGATTTCTACGGCCCTTACACCAACGAAATCCTCATCGGCAAGGTCGTTCATTCAATCATTCATTTTCCTTTTGATTCTCGTTGTTGATTAAACCAGACGTTGATTTTCTCGATTTCGTTTCTGATTCAGGCGTTGAAGGGATTGGAAAGAGGAAGTGTTGAATTAGCAACGAAATTCGGGATCAAATCGTTGGTTGGAGAAGGCGAAATCTGTGGTGATCCGGAGTATGTTAGGGCTTGTTGTGAGGATAGTTTGAAACGCCTTGATGTTGATTACATCGATCTGTATTATATCCATCGCGTTGACCCTCGTGTTCCAATCGAGATCACGGTTAGCATTTCCAGACACTTTTTTTTTCTCTTGATCTTGATAAATTTGCTTAAATTCGCATCAGATTTTTGCTCAACGAGGAACAATGAGGATTAATTTGTTTGGTTGTAGATGGGAGAACTGAAGAAACTAGTTGAAGAGGGTAAAATCAGATATATTGGTCTATCAGAGGCTTCACCTTCAACGATTAGAAGAGCACATGCTGTTCATCCGATTACTGCTATACAGTTAGAGTGGTCGCTGTGGACTAGAGTCCCTGAAGAAGAAGTCATTCCAACTTGCAGGTACGCCATTACCAATCTGTAACAATGGCGTTTGGCCTAATTGGCATCTAACTGAATTCGAATTCCATTTTTGATCTCTGATTTTCAGAGAATTAGGTATTGGGATTGTTCCATTTGGTCCTCTTGGAAGTGGATTCTTGGCTTCTGGTCCAAAGTTAGTTGAGGGCTTGACAGATTCAGACTTTAGGAAGGTTTGTGTTCTCAAGTCTCGATATAGTAAAAAAATATATATATATATGAAGAGATATTTTCAAATTAAAGATTTAAACTTATTAAATATTTTTTTTTGGTATAATATAAGTATTTGTAAGATTAATAAATAAGTTCGAATAGCTTTAAACTAAAAAAAAATACCAATGTACGTTTATATATTTGTTATAACATCATTTTGCAAAGCGATTTCTATTGCTATAAATATAATTGAACATATTTTTAAGATACAGTGTTTTAATTAAAATTTTGAAATTACAATGTTATAATACGGTAAACTTTCCGAACTACATTGCTTTAACAAAAAAAAATAAAAATAAAGATACTATGTTGTAATGAAAATAAATAAATAAAAGTACAATGCTATAATAAACAATTAAATAGAAACAAAATAATATTTCTTGCATTTAGCTCCTTTCAAATATCTTTATGAATTGTTCTATTGTATTTCTTTTAGTATTTGCCACGATTACAAGGGGAGAACTTCGAACATAACAAGATCACGTTCGAACGAATTCATGAAATTGCCCTAAAGAAAGGGTGCACCCCATCCCAGTTGGCATTGGCGTGGGTCCTACACCAAAGGTTTGATGTGGGTCCCATCCCCGGGACCACAAAGATTGAGAACTTGAACCAAAACATTGAATCTTTATCTGTAAATCTCTCACCACAAGACATAGTTGAGCTTGAATCTATTGCTTCTATTGATGCTTTTAAGGGTAGTAGATTACCTCCGACAATTTTGGCTCATTCAAATGTTGAAACTCCTCCATTATGATCATATGGAGAACTAGTCAGTCATCCATTCGATATGAGATGGTTGATCTAATCATTTATCATATCACATGACTGATAGATGACTAATACTAGGATCAATCATCTCTGATATGATAGTTTATTGTATCTTGGGTGTATTTCTAAAAGTGCAAATGAGTTGCACTTTGTCAAATTATTCAAATTTGGGTTTATTTTAGTGAAAAATTAACTTATCAGTGCAATTACGTTTTCGTTTTATTCACATCTAGGTAACTTTTTTTTATATATAACAAACTTGTCAAAAGTGTTCACATATGACTATTATGATCGAGTGTAGCAAGTTAAAGCCGATCATAATTGTCATATGTGAACAATTACAAGTAGTTCGTTACCTAGATTTGTACAAAAAAAGTTACTCAAATATGAACAAAACGAAAAAGTAATTATCCTGATAGGTCAATTTCTTCTTTTATCAAGACGGTTGATCATAATGTTTGCAATATTAATATATTCAGTTAAATTTCCTTACAATAATATTTCTAATCATTTATAAGCATTTAAATTTGCCACAACATGTTGGGAACCATTTTTGGTAGCATAATTATCAAATAACTTTATATACATATGAGACACGAGCAATGTTATCGATATAGATACAAGATATTTCTATATTTTGTATTTTAAAATTCTGTAATACATGGAGTAAACTTTATTAAAGATGATGTTTTTTTATGTTATTGATCTTCACCTCTAGTGCTTTTAATCTTTAGTAAAATTTATTTTTTATATCTAATATCTTAAACAATAAATGTAACGACCCAAAAATCAGGGGTAAAAAATTCATTTTTAATTCAACCCAACATAGAAACCATTTATTCCAAACATTCCAAAACAGTGTTAATTAGAAACATTTATCAGAGTTCGTTCCCAAAATCATTCATTGCGGAAATCATAGGTGTGTGTGCACTGCGATCAATCTGAGCCCTTCATTTCCAAAACGATGAAACCTGAAACCAAAATTGTAAACCGTAAGCACAAAGCTTAGTGAGTCACCCAGAGCATACCCCACACAGAATCTACATAACACATATCGTACTAGTTGTAATAGCTATATCTACCGTTATCACGTATCAATCAGCTATAAAAGCTACTCTACCACGTATCACATATCAAATAACTATAAAAGCTATCTCTACCACTAGCACATATCAATTAGCTATACAAGCTATCTCTACCGTTAACCACAAAGGCTATATCTACCGTTAGCCACAAAACTATCTCTACCATCAGCCATAAAGGTTGTCTCTACCATTAGGCACAAGGTTATCTCTACCATCAGCCACAAGGCTATCTCTACCATCAGCCATAAAAGCTATCTCTACCATCAGCCATAAAGACTGTCTCTACCATTAGCCAAAAGGCTATCTCTACCTCATATCATGCATACATACATATCACACACCTCTACATCGCAAGTATACCAACTATCATAAAATGGGTCGGCCTTGGTGCCTTAGACTCATTGGTATGGTGAGAAGACTCACCTCTCGAACACTAAACTGATAAGCTGAAGTCAGACATATCCCACACGCTGATCCTTCTCAACTGCCCATAATCATCAGGTGATTAGCTTGACACAATCCCATAAATACCCCCAGGTCAACCCTGGTCAAAGTCTATGTCTGTAGTCAAGGTCAACAGTCCATATTGACCTTGAATCGCCGAGTACAATTAGCCACTCGTCGGATTCCCAGCTTAACTCATCGACTGAGCGAGTCATCAGAGAGACTCGTCGAGTTCCTTGATGTTTATAGCCGTAAACTCCCAACCGCACACTCCTGACCGTGAACCCTTGGCCGTAAACCTTTTACCGTGAACCCTCTCGACTCGCCGAGTCACAAGAACGACTTGACGAGTTCCCACGTATTCGGTCCTTTCCAGTGGGATTTAAGGTCCCAAACTTTAGATCCATATTCTCCTAGTGATAATACCACGTAAAGTTGCAAACTTTACGTTCTTACTAAGTCTCATAATGCCAAAACCACATCAACAAGCTTCTTACAAGTCCCAAATGCATGAATAAGAGTTAGCGTGCACCAAGGAGACAACTTTATGACATTTGGGACCTAAGAAGTTCCAGATCTGGAACCATATCCTTGCGATAGGTCCAGATCCAAACTTGGTTCCATTTCCTCAAGAATGGCTATAATCTCCACAAAGAAATCAAAGCTTAAAGTAGCAGATTAATACCTCAGATAGATGCCCAACACGAAATAGGTACTCGATCTAGAGCTCCTCCCTTGATACTTCCTCTTCAAGCTTGAAATCCACCCCAAAATCGCAAAGACAAGCTCCCAAATGCTCTCTCTTCTCTCACAAGAGGTTTGCGGCCGTGAACAGCTTCTAGTGTGTAAAATAGAGGCTACTAGGGTTTATAATGATGTTTATATAGGGGCAAACCCTAAAATTGGGGTTTTCCTTAAATAGCCCTGACTCGTCGAGTCGGCCTTCCGACTCGCCGAGTCTCTTTTGACCCGTGTCCAAAATGCCTCGACCCTACTCGACGAGTTAGACTCCCAACTCGCCGAGTCCATGCATAACATTTCCCCCAAATGGTACTTTCTAACTGATACTCGAAACAGGTGTTACAAGTTGCCCCCACTTAAACTAGACTTCGTCCTCGAAGTCTGCCGTCCCAAGCAAATCTGGGTAAAACTCTCGCATCTCTTCTTCTGGCTCCTAAATCCATTCGGAGCCCCTTCGGTGCTGCCATTGCACCTATATCAATCTTGTTTCCCCATTCTGAAGACCTTTGGTCTTCCTATCAAGAATCGCAACCTGCTTCTTGATATAGTTCGGAATCTCATGCATATGAATGTCATCCAATGAAACGTCTGCGGAATCGACCATGACACCCTTCCGAAGCTAAGACACGTGGAAGGTGTTGTGAGTCTGGCTAAGCTCCTCTGGCAGGTGCAAGCAATATTCCACATTGTCCACCCGGGCTGAGATCCTGAACGGCCTGAAAACCGAGGCCCCATCCTGCCTCTCTTCCAAAACCTGATAATCCCTTTCCAGGGAGATACCCTTGGCAACGCGAAATCCAAGAATGAACGAATTACTTGCAACCTGATCACATCTGCTTCATCTGAAATCTGAAGTTTCGAGATGGTCTGTCTTCCTGACAGATTGCCCACATCGACTCATCATCGAACGGGTTCCACGAGAAAACTAGTCTAAATAGAATACTTCCCACTCGCAATACATTGAGGCTTCCCAAAGAACAAAGTCACCGATCAACCGCGGCTAACGAATAACAAGCAATTCACACACAAACCCCAAATCAATGAAGTCGCTCCTACTCCTCTTCCTGCCACGTGGCTGTTTTCCAGAAGAGCAACTGGGGACCTCCCTGGTCCCAACCTATCTACCCACTGCCCGGATAGGCTGAAAACCTGTCGCCACTGAATCCGACGCAACAAGGTGAGTACTACCAGAATAGTTGTAGTCTTACATCATACCTGGTCTCCTTCGACCTACCGTTTCCTGATTCTGACATGTCGTGGCTCTATAACAACTAGAGCCACCCGAGACAAATCCCAATGACTTAAACCACCATCAAACCAACACGTTCACCAACCTGGAATTCTGTCCTCGAGGCCCTTGACATATAGATGCCCCACATCCCATCTCGCTGAAACGAGATCCTGCACGAATTCCGATTTAGGTTCCTATCTAAATCCGAATCGTTGCTCCTATCCAGAGAACCTCGAATCGGCATTTGCATAATGCATCATGACCTCCCGCCCTCCTTTACTTTACCGGTTACTAAATACCCTTAGCCGATTCCCTGAGACTTCCAGTCTTGCACCCGGTCCAACCACAAGGTTCATATGAGATCCCAAAACAGGGCTACCCAGCCGCAGCCCTACAGAAACATGCACCACTCGATCACAAGATCCTGCATCACAAGGTCCAACCCTTAGCTCAGCAGTCTCTACCGGTTCCAACCTGAACTCCTATACACGTCCGGGCTTGCCCCCGGATAACTGACCGATCAACCACCTCGGGTCCGGATCCTAACTAAGTTGTGGCTCTCCCACAACCCTGCGAACTAGCCTACCCTAGTCCAAATCACCTGAAAGAATCCGTGAATGCTACGACACCCCCGCAGTCTTACAACACTCTCTACCGTTAGTGAATGCTACGGCTCCCCTCGTAGTCTTACAACACTCTCTACCGCTAGTGAATGCTACGGCTCCCCCATAGTCTTATAACACTATACCGTAACTGACCATTAGTGAATGCTACGGCTCCCCCGTAGTCTTACATCACTTTCACCCCCATCTGAACATTAGTGAATGCTACGGCTCCCCCGTAGTCTTACAACACCTTCACCCTTGCTTCTGACCCGGATACCTGGGCAGTTCTCCCCCACTTAGATTCAACTAAGTCCGTTTTTCACGAAAATTGCAGGATTCCCAATCCTCATTACGTTCCAATGCTCACCTTGCTGACGACCGGTGCTTACCAAAGCTAGAACACCATGCATAACCCTTCCAAACAACACAATTCCCGAAAACCCACTAGCACATCTTGTGTCCCAATAATGCCAATGACTCTAGCTGTTCACACTGATATCACACTTAGATCTCGGAGTCCAAAGGTCGGATGCTCCCACAATACTTCAACGACAGCTTCTCCTTCCCTCCCTCGGCAACTCCGAGAGGCTTTCATAATTGCTAAGGTTACTAAACCCAATCAAAATCCCCTCGTACGAACCCTTGAACCAACCCCGACCATATTCACAATGACACTCGAATGCTGGAAAAAAAATCCGCGATATATCAGGAGATGACCCCGTACTACTCCACCCAAATTCACGGTTTGCAGATGGCATATAACTCTTCTTGAAGATGCGTGAAACTCAACCACCACCTGAGATAAGAACCAACGATACGCCTTCCCATGCTGATTAAAAATATATGTTACTAAATACAGGAAACGCTGGTGGGGAGGCAA